TCTGCAATCAAGTAAAAACTCCTGCCGTTATACAACAGCATGCTGCAGATTTATAAAAACGACTCACTGAACCGCTTCAGCCTGGTATCGGACTGCAGCCAGTTGCCATGCCTGAAGAAAATGTGATCTCAGATAACTTGTGTGACGTCACCATGCATGTCAAGTCCCAAGATAAAGCAGACTGGGGTGATGGAGAAAAACATGATACAATAAACAGAAAAAGATATTCACGTGACTCCATTCTTTCTTGTAAATCTTCAAGCGTCGAAGTGAAGCTAGTAAATGATAAGGATACCATGAAAAGCCTTCCAAATACCAAAAGACCTCGTGATCAACTAAGGCCAGGGGGAGATAAAGAGAAAGGTAAAATTACGAAGCGCCTCCCACTCTGTTTGCTGTTGGATACTTATCAAGTTCCGCCAATACCTCCACCAGAAACTATCGAGTCATCTACTCAAACAGAACATCCTACAGCTCCAGGGATTTTATCTCCGAGGTGGTCGAAACGCAAGCGAAGAAAATCAAATGATTTCAAGTAAACCCTCGGCTGCGTCGCTGTTATGTATTTTTTCTTTTTTTTCTTCCAGAGGGAGGTGTTAGGATATTCACCAAATATCCTAAGAATACTATTTTTAGAAGTGCAATCCTATTGGTCGAATTCTATTGGCCGAAATTATGATCGTTCTTACCGTCAGGGTCAATTACTTCAATGTTACCTCTTATTGGTCATCTGGACGGTCAATGTCATTCAAATGTCCTTCTCTATTGGTCGTCCTAAATTGTCAATGTCACAGACGTTGATGCTTTTTCTTATTCGACCTTCGTGTATAAATACGCGCTATTTGGAAGACTTAATAATTCCGTTTCCCCTGCCTACTTCTTCTGTTTACGACCCAATAAACATCTTCCTGCCACGGTGTTACGTTCTGATTTCTAGGAGATTTGGAAAAGCCTTTTGGGTCGTATTGTGATATTTGAATTGGACGCCGTTAGGACTGAAGAGTTACGTAGCCGCGTTTACAACAGTGTCTAACAAAGATTGATTGATGATTTCATTGTTCACAACAGTAAAACGTTTTTTTTTTCATGGTTTGATGCAGAATATATTGAGTGTAATCAATGAAATTATTGTCGGAAATTTTGATATTTATCTTTATACAATTACTACAATACTAGCTATGTAGTTTAAGGAAACTGATAAAAGTTGATTATTTAATCCTGAATTTCTGCGACTGTTTGACAGATAGTAAAGAATGTAGACAGAATAGGTTATCAAGTATTTGATAAGTCTAAAAGTTCTTAATGTCTGACAAATCAAATATTTAAGGTAGGAATGACTATTGAACGGAACAAGAGTAAAAATATTAACCAATGTAATGCAAATATATATATATATATATATATATATATATATATAATGCACAGTGTTTATGATCAAGCTGAATGAAAATGAATGATGGCACCATAAATCCTAATGTAACAATTCAAAGTCGTATTGTAGCATTTAAAGAATTCAAGTTACTTGTTTACATACTTAAGATAGTGAGAAAATAATTGTTTATGATTCTGTCGTAATGTACCATATTTTTTCCGAATATTTTTGATGAACTTAAGGAACATTCAAAATTATATTGTAGTTTAAATGTTTACTAGTTATGTTGAAATATATCGCTTAGTCTTTGCAATTTATGCAAAGAGTGATAAGTCCAACTTTGAGAGTTATTGATTTAAAATTTGCTGGTGAAACCTAATTTATTCCGTTTAAGTTACCTACATTCACAATGTTAAATTCAAATAAAATGCCTTTAGGAATGGTATATATCATAATATATATAACTAGTGTTTTCATCATAGAAAATAATTCTTCATGTTATCTTCGCATATGGTGATTTCATTGACTATTTGTAGGACGATGGTTGACAATGAAGTTTATTTGCTTGAAATTGTACAGTAAGTTATTTCTCACTGACTGACATTAGCTGGATGGAAATAGTGAAAACTCTCGACGTGGTTTGATACCACTGATCATGTCTTCTGAATCGAACTTCAAGCATTCTTTTGGAATAAACTGAACAATCATTGTATAATTCTTTTCTCATCTACTTATGTATTCATCAGGAAATATTATTTATCTTGGAAATTGAACTAAATTCAAATGTTTTAAAATAAGTTGACTTGAAGTATACGATTATTGATTGCTGACTTCTTGCATAAATACGCTCAGAGAGGAAATTATTGTTGAAATACTCAACCATGCAAATGATCATTCGATCTAAGTAAAGATCTAGGAGGTTTGAAATAAATAGGAACTAGTTAGAGTTCCTTCGGTTATTTCAGTTCGATTACTTAATGTCGATATGAAAATACATCATTGTGTTAACTTTTATACAAATCAGACAGTTTACTAGTAAGACAACCAATCTCTAAATAGAACCCGATATTAAGTCTGACCTAGAATTACAATAGAGTATTAACATCAGATCAGACGAAAAGTTATGAGTCTATTAATTAATCCAATAATATTTCGAAGTGTTCAGACAAAGAAATATTTTTAATTAAGTGATTATCAATCATCGACATATTACAAATATACAGTTATTATTTTTATTACCGCCAATCTACCAAATGCTTAATTTATTTGAAATAAACAAATCAAATTGTAGTAATGATACTCATTATGCATCACACCTCTTGATTTTTTCTGTTCCTATTGTCGCATTTCATTACAATCCTTGGTTTGCATTATGGGGTTGTGAAGATTGTTTTTTTGAAACCATGAATCGATCAATGCTAGACCACCATTAGAAACCTGGAAGCAGTGGATGGCCATTTCGTCCTGGTATGGGACTCCTCAGCAGTGCGCATCCACGACTCCTGCACCCCGCAGGATTCGAACCTGGGTTTGTTCAGAAGTAGTAGTATCATAGATACTCACTGGCAGAGTATGTCCACGTTCAAACAAGATACCTTTCCTATCTTTTCAACCGTCTACTAATCAAAGTCAGTATGCTTCCTAAATATATATAAAAAGTTTAAAATCTTTACAAATCTCGAGACCTATTTTTAATATCATAATATTTATTATTGTAACACAATAACTTATTTTTATACATTTTATTTTCTATACATTTAGTAGAGGTTGTGGGTGCTTTTTATTTAATTTGCTGTCTAACTTTGTATTTGTGTGACCTTTTGCTTAGAATGTTAATCTACTAAGTACACAAAACCATTGAGATATTTCTAAATAGATTACAACATATTAAGAGAGTTTACTAGACTTTATAGAAGTAAGCTGAATTCATATGAAGTATAATTAACTAGAAGGTTTGAGTGAATAATAAGTTAGCAGTTAGACAAGAGGAAACTTGGTTTTGAAGCCAGTATTGCGTAAAATACAAGGTTTTTTTTTTAAAACAATAACACTAATAAAAAAATTAGTTGTTACCTCATCTCATTGCAATCCTAGCAATGAAACAGACTTTTAAACGTTCGTTCAAATTGTATTTCGATAAACGTATTATTGTAACTTTACATATATATACCTGTTATTCAATATTATGATGCAACTTCATATTTTAGAAAAAAGGTATAGCATCTTTCTGAAAGCGATCTGCGCACAAACTTGCATCGAGTTGCAGTTTACGGCTGTCGTTTGAGTTGATCACATCATCTACCAGATCTTTTAAAACTCCTCGTTTTTATACATTTTTACCACAAACATACTTTTTGATGCTCTGTTTACTTTCTCCTGTTTTTGAGGACGGATTCTGTGACTTGGCGTTTTCAATCCTTCATCTACTTCAAGTGATGCACTGCCCTTTTTTTTCGTCAGCGCTTTATGAACATTAGTAAAATAGTGTCTGAAGATAGCTCGGAACAGCTTCAAGATGTCATCTTAGCTTCTTATTCTACACTACCTTTCGTTCAACCAAAAGTTTCATCTCTTCATCATTTTCTATTTATTTTGATTTACAAATGTTGTTACGAATATATAAGCCACGCAAACCAACGAATTTTTTTGGGCTGGGATACTGTCTGGATGCCAAAACCGAAGCAGTCGGTGTACTTAGGGAGTTACACCTCAGGCCTTCGACCAAGAGTTCAAATCCACAAGATATCAAAACAGTGTTACGAAAGGTATCCGGTAACCTTGAATAGGTTCATATGCCATTTATTTCCTCAAGATTCTGGAGTCCATGCACACCACTGATTTTGAGTCAGGGTTTTCCAACTCATCTAGACGAATCTTCTGTACCCATGAACCTGGTTTTTAAGCGCCAAACGCTTGCTTTTTGTCCTCTCAGTTTTGTAAACGATATCTGTGACGTGAAAAGGCAAGATGTTCCTACCCACTTTTGGGTGTTGTACTAAAGCAATTGGGAGCTGGATGATTTCAAGAAATATTTTTTGAATGTGGGAATCAGTACTGTACTAATTTCTGGTCATGAGCGTGTTTACACCAATACTTCATTCAAAAAATGATACGAGGCGAATGTGCACGTACATTAGTGAGATAATTGACGCTTGTATTTAATAAATTCATCTACCACGTATATCGAAGTGCATTACTAATTAGTATAATATTTGGTACAGGAGAGGCTGAGATACATCACTACTTTGTGCCAGTGAGACAATCTGAACCTATGATAGGAGACCTTAGTTGGTATATTTTAAAATCCTTTACAGTTGCAGAGATGCATCGTCACATTTTTTCACTATCGAGCTTCTTTCATTGTAATCTTCTTTTTCTTATACTGACATGAACTTACAGATATTTGTGACAGATTGTACTTCGTAAACAATCATACCCATCCATAATAAGAGACTCAATAAGTGTAGCCTTTTCACATAGAAATTTTCTCATCCTCAAGTTGGATCTTGAGAAAGCTAAAGAACAAGCATTTTTGGACTTATTCAAACTGTTTCGATCTACTACAATCCTTGATAAATTATCATTTTATTTGCTAATTGAAGATTGAAAAATTAACAAACTCAACAATAATAGCATAAAATAATGAGATATATTTAGCTCATAAATACAAATGATTACACATTCATCACTTTCTTTCGATGCTTAAAGTATGTTGTAATTTACAGCAGATCTTTGTTTGTTCACTTTGTTTAGCACAGATATGTTCAGTTAGCCAACGAAAAATTAACACACACACACACACAAGAAAATAAATAGTTAAACAAATGTATCACAATACCCTAAAACACAAAATTACACTAAATCTGATTGTTTACATTGATGATAATATTTTAAAAAATAACAATAATAGCAATAGTAATGAAAACTAAAAGATAAGTAGGTTTTCTCTTTTTTTTTTAACGTAGAACACAAAAAATAAAGTAAAAATTATAGCTATGAGTAAGTTAAAATTAATTAAATTTCTTTTCATTTATTATACTCTACAACAGCAAAGTTATAAACATATATGTATAGTTATAGCATTGAAGAAGAAGAAGTTTTTTATGCATTCTATATAATAGCTGAAATTGAATAAAACTGTTTTTAATGTATATAGTTTTATTGACTTTTTGTATAACAAAGCAAAATAGAATTATATAATTTATAAAATACTTGTTTCTTTGATGATATTGATTGACTAGAAATTCTTTGTAAAACATATATGTCTATGTATACGAAGTATAATCGAATGAAAGAAAAAAACCAAATAATAGAAGAAGTCATAGGAAGTAACCAGAAAATGGCTGAATGTAAAGAACGAAATCATGAACTAACGTCGTATAATGAATGATCTAACGAGAAAAACATTTAACATGTATTCGACTTTTTCAGCATAATGATTCTGTTTTATCCAAAATTGAGGTTATATTTATATGCCAAAGAATAGTAAAATAATCATAGCGAAGAAGCTAACTATATAGCTGATTAGATTCTGAATGATCAAATAATTGTATCAAACTGTAAAAAAGGCAGATGAAAGCTAAATGTAAACAACAGTTTCTTGTGTGTGCATTTGTTTAATATTGTCGTGAACATGACGCTGCTATGGCTGCTGCACCTTTCCCACTTCCATCTTCAGATAAACGTAGACAGAACTACAGTGAAAAAAAGAATAATGATTATTATGAATGCTATTTTAGAGAAATATAAATCAAAATTTTTTCAATACTTTAATTACATCAATGTCGCTGCTTTAAACCCATCAGTATTTTAGTTCTTCTTTATGTACGTTTGTACATTCATTATCAGGAAGTTGAATAATAGAAATTTAAGGATCTAAGCATCATGTCTCCAGTAAAATAATATTCGAAAAATTAAATTTGAATTCAGTCATAATCTCTTCAAAACAGAAGAAATTCAAGTACTTAGTTATGAATTCATTATCCTCAAAGATTATTTTATTATTGCTTTAAATTATTTCAAGCAAACCTTAGCATAAACTACATACAAATAAAGTATAATCAACATTTTAAAGTATAATGTAAACATTGAAGTGTTATTTACTCGTGTATTTTTTGGTTTCAGCTTATCAATCATATCTGTCATTCGTTCACAAAACTTCGGATGAAATTTATACAAAGAGCCGTCAACGCCAACAGTTACTTCTGAACGGTTAATTCTTCGAAGAATGCAAGCAATACCTGAAAGTAAATGAACGAGAGCCTAGTGATTAAAAGCTCAATATGTTAGAATATCTGTAGCATTCTATAGAAAAGGCACCCAATCTACCCGGAACGGTTCATATTATAGAAACTTGGCAACTCACCTGCACCAGCTAAGTAAGCCGCCCGTTTAACGACCATTTCACATACATATCGTACAATGCGGTTGTCGATCGGCTCAACAACAGGGACAGAGAGGTCTTCGGTAAGCATATAGTAGGTGTTGTATAGAAGGTGAGGAGGATCTCTGAAACATGATATTTGACAAAACACGAGAAGTTTTATGCATAGGAACAGAAACAGTTTTAATTATAAGTATCAAAAAAATATCTTTTGTGAACTGTCGCTACCATGCAGTTAGATAAATAAAGTAATTTGCTGTCACATTTCATTATAGATCATTTGTACCAATATTATCAACTTCTGGCTAATTAAAGCATATAATGTAAGCTACACATATGAATGTATCAAGACCGTTTGACTAACCACTGACAAATTCAGTTTACATGCCAAAGTTTCAGTTTTCTATATTTCTTGTAGGGATTTGATTAGCCATTTACTTTTCTTAATTTACATAGGTCGCAAATTAGTGTATAACTACTATCATATAATGATAATTATATATAGCAAATAAAATTATTTTAACACAGATAATTGAAAATAAGATATTACAGTTTGTGATGCATAGTAATGATACGTCGTCATCACAAAACAGATTTCATAGATTTCAAAAACTAAACAGAGTTATTAAATTAAATTCAAGGGATCCATTAATAATGATTAAGCTCAAGTGTTAATAATCATTCATATGAAAAACAAAAGCATTGCATATTTCTGATATCGATCTTACTCATCTTAATCATTAGTAAACGGAAACTAATTACTACCGAGCGTAAAATAAAAGATATCAAAAATACGGATAACTCGTTAAAAAAAATCATTCTATGTGTCATGCTAAGGTGCAAATGTTTAAAATAAGCCTTACCTTTCAACATCCGTTAAGTATCTAGTTAGCAGAGAATTACGTACTTTCAAACTCTCTGGAACTTTTCCACGAAAGAGAAGTTTTTCTTCAATAAGGTAGAGAAGGGTGTAACGGACTAGCTCACCGAGGTACATACCAGATATCATTTTTTCATATCTGTAAAAAATATAGAGTAGATACAAACTATAAAATCATTAAAATATATTTGGAAAAAATCCCATCTCGCAATATATGTTGAATAAGAAAAAATGAAATTCTCTAGTCACAGGCCTGTAAATAATAAGCACTGTAGCCGATTAGTAGGCGGAAAATAACATGAAAAAGCTACTTTACACAAAGAGTAGTTTTAAATTTTAGGCAAATATGAAACTGATTTTCAAATATTATCACCATGCATTGTCTTATAATACAAAATAAACTAGTATTTTAAACTAGTAATTTTCATTTGAATAAATAAATGACTTATGAGATAGTATTGCCTTTGCACGTGGCTTGAAAATAAACGGTTTGAAACCAGCCCAACACCTGAATACCAAATTTGCAGGAAGCTTATAAATGCTTATGGTAAAATATTAACATAACGATTATTTACTACATTAATTTTTAAAGTCTACGGAATGAAACTAACAGTTGTTTTCCTGGCTGAAGACTCTCCTTATCCAAAGATTTGTCAAACTGTGTTCTCCAAATATCCAATTCTCCTTTTTCGCCAAACGCACCCCATTCTGTGTTTATGACAACTTCGGGTTCGTCCTTATTTTCCATTAGCTCAACTTTTGAAGAGTCCTCGATATAGGCAACGTTTGTTCCTGTGCCTACAAAACAGAAAAGTTTGAAAGACATTATTTCGCAAGTTGGAATCGAAGTTTTATATTAGGGACCGCTGACAGATTGGTGAAAGACAATACTTTTTCCAGTCAAATGGTCAGCCAAATTGTGGTGCCGATTGTACATGACCTTTACAATAGTCTATATACATGTAAGTTGAAAAAAGTGGAACAAAAGTACTCGAATGAAACTTCTATACTGCTCTTTGACTGACAGTGTGGTCACACAAATTATCGTAATAAAGAGTACGCTTGAGCCGTAATATAGTGCTAATGATTTCAACTACTCATGCATAGTTCATATTTACCATCAGCATAAAACTGTTATGTTACGGTATACTACAATCATACGGGTCACGCACTAAATCAACTTGGTAAAAAACAGCAGATGTCATTAATAGATATTTATACACTTATTTTCAGATTGTTATCTCGATTTTATTGAAATGAAACACTTACCAATTATCAATCCAACAGCACATTTTGAGTCTTCAAGAGCACAAGAAGCAAGCGTACCAACAGTATCATTTACAACTGCAACACATTTTACATTTAGGTCCTACAATATGTAGAAATTTAAATTGTCCATTAAATAGATTTGAAGTCATGTCATTTAGGGTACATGACATTCTACGCCTGAAAATAATACTTAAGACACTGAACTTAAAATTTTAGAATGCGTTGAACCAAAAGTATTAAAAATACTTCTTATATGAAAACAAAGTTTTATGGTTGTAAGCCTTTTGGTATAAAACTCCTCTCACTTGCCTGACTTTTGAGAATATTAGGAAATTCCTAATGGATGTCTTTTTGTTATTGGTTTTTATTATTTGTACATTTTTGCGAATCAGATCACCATTGGCCATATAATTTTATTTACCTTAGTTACTATACATAAGCCTTATATGCTACAATTTCGCTGAACACTTATTCTTATACAAACCACCTCTTCCATACGAATATCCAGTACCTAACATGTCAACGTTTAAGCTCAATGACACTCAAAAACTGTTACTAATTAGGAACCTAGAATAATTTGGTGTCAAGTATGTCTATCGTTGAAAAGAAACAGTAAAAACCCTTGATTATCATATACATATATCAGAAGTAGTATGATACTATAGTTAACATGACTTTAATTGTTAAAGCTAGCTTTGCAACCAAAACAAAACTATTCCTCAGCGTTTTTGATGTAGGAGTGAAAATAAACTATTGCAATGTACCATTTTCCGATAAAATCAACTTTGGAAAACTATGATTTAGACAAAAAATGGCTTAAGTTAATTTTTAAACGAACTCACAAGTTTATCAAGCTCATCTTGCAACATCTTAGCAACATTACAACCTTCTACCCCATCTGCAGAAAAACCTTTTGTCCACCTAACCAAAGTAGCATGAGTGAGACCTTTTTGCACACATGGAAAAGAAAATGTGAATCCCAGTTCAAATTTTTTGTCCTTAATCCCGTTATTTTCCAGAAAGTCAGACAGTGTTTCAGCAATATATCTAAAAAGCTAGGGAAGAAAAAGGATAATAGACAATTCATTATATTGAAAATACACTTCTTTATTTTATCCGGTAATCCACATCGGGAACTAAATAAGCTAGCTGTGAAATTATTTCTCATTGTAAATGGGAAAAAAATTGAAGTCTCATGATTTCGCTTGATATATAAAATAACAATAATGATTTGAACAATGAAAATCGCCCTTTTACTCAGTTCTTATACTAATAACCGGTTACACTCAAAATAGAAAAACGTGAAATAAAGAATGATAAGTATCTGAATATACCATATGTGTTAGACTAGTGTCAGGTTAGATAGAACTAACCTAAAGTCAGTAATTCATCTTGAAAGTAGTATTTGCACGATTATTGAAGAATTTTAGAGAGAAACGACCTTGGCAGAATTCCCAAGGCTAGTTGATTATCATTTATAGGCGATTGGTTAGAAAAAAAACAGCAGAATTTATCATCAAGCAAATTTTGTGGCAAATTTCAAACCAAATGAAAATCATACTCTAATTAAGTATGTGTTCCTTCCTGATGAATAACTTTGTAGAAATGGCAAAAGTAAGCATATATTCAATCTCTGTTTGTAGAGGAGAACAAGATATTCGTTAAAACTTACTGAAAAACTGATATTTTACATTTTGAAACACTATCCGAAGTTCAAAAAACTCATCTTTAGACTTTATACAAGTAGGTATCAGTGATACATTTCACCAGCTTCCTTAAACTAGGATATGAGATAAAGTTAGATACCATAAACTTTAGTCATTTTTAGGTTACAATGAACTGATCAGTCTTGAAAAGACAGTAATCTTAATTTCAAATCAAGGAAAAGACTTAGAGGCATGCTGTCTTTATTGCCTGAATAAATCAAATGGTGAGAGAGTAAGGTAGAAGCATTGTTAGACGTGATAATAGAAACACGAGGCAACCCATGCAAAACTATTCTCTCAATAAAGCTTACCTCCTTGCCGGAACCTGTCATCTTTTCGGCGGGGATGCAATAAGTTCTTTCTTGAATCTTCGGATGTTTCCCCTTACCTTCAAGATTCACAGATAGCACTCGATAATTCGTTCCACCAAGGTCCAAAGCCAAAAAGTTTCCGGTTTCTACAAAATTGTCAAAACCTTTCTTTCTAAATACCTGTCCCGTTCGGAGTTTTTGTAACGTAGGATGGAAACATTTTAATGGATGATTCTGCATTTGTACTCTTTTTCAAACCCATACGCATTGATTCATCCATCCGATGGCAAATTTCCTCATAATCAACCACAGACAGGTCGAATGGCTTGAGTATCTCGCAAACTTCCTTGAAAATTTGCTCGTTTGAGACCACCATCTTTTTTCGCAATGTGTGTCGCGAATCACAGATTAGACAGTTTAAATATTAACTTCAACTCCATCGATGTCGTTAGTAGATATAAACAAACTTCGATCAGAAAAATAGTCATTCAGAAAGTGGAGAATTAAGAAATAAAAGATGCTAGAATATTTCGTTTAAGCTTTATTCCTCGTGTAGTTAAGGTTTTTATTAATTCTAAAGGTTTCTTAGAACTTTCTTCAACATATGTGTATTTCCGCCTCTTGTTTATTGATATTTCTTCGCATTCTGGACATGATTTGTAAGTCAAATAACCAAGAAACCTTAATTATTCCAACCAATTTTCTATAAATCTTAAGCCAGTATAACAGTACTAATATTTGGGAGGTAAACAGTGATCAGCTTAAACATTCCCTATTTGTCCTTATTGATTCCTTCAGTTGTACATTTTGTTAATCTGTTCGATTCCATTTTGAGATGATAATATTTATACTTTATTATAGTTTCTATTTCTTCTGCCTTTACTGAGTTTCTGTTTTATTTATGAACTGCATTATGTTGCTTAAGCTGATACTTAGTCATGGCTAAAGCCATATTGCTTTATCCCTCTTTTGACTGTATTGCTTGCATGAACTGGAACTGTGCATTTTTATTATGAATTGAAGCACTCTTCCAGAACTGGATACACTCTGTGTTATGAAGCAACCAAATGTTATTTGTCGAACGAATCCGATCTATACAAGAGGGGTAGAATATCTTTTATCTGCTGTGGATTTGATTGATTGAACAATAGTTGTTGGAATAAATAAGTAGTAATATTGTTTAGGTAATGATGCAAATTTATATTTTTGATGAATATTAGAACCGCTTTACCCAAATTACTTTTTTTCGTTTCAACTGGGAAAGACGCGTATCTAAACTACCTCACTTTGGATCCTACAGTAACCGAAATATTAACATCTGAAACTTCTGAACATACTTTTCTAAATATGATAATAAGCAGACAGTAGTTGTTCCCCCTAACAGATGAACACCAAATCTAAAAACATCTCCTCATCTGACATTCCGTGTTTTTAGTATTGGCCCAATTATTATTCAACTTGTTATATTCCCGTGTAGTTACATAGATTAAACAAGCACTCTTTAATTCTGACTAATAGCTCTAATGAAATCACCAACTTCTAAACCACCTGAATGATCGAAGCCAGTAAACCTGACAAATCCGTATCTGAGACAGCAACAGCCAATTCTAATGAATCCCGAATTTATTAACCACAAGTTTCGCTACCACTAGCAGATACTCAGAATGACAACTCCTTCATCTCTTCATTCGGAACAAAAAGTGGTTAAAGCTGTTGAAAAAAATCTACAAATAATGTTTAGGACTTTGAAATGCACAATAGTTGGTGACAGTTTCGTCGGTTTTTTGGAGGAAAGAGAATGAAGCGAGAAGCAGAAACGAAAATATTCGTGATTGAAGTTGAATCATTACCCAGCAGATGCGATATTAGATAAAACACTAGGGTAATACTACTTGAACCTTTTTTCTTCTCCGCCAGATGACTTACTGAACAACGACGATTTTGTAGGTTAATCAAGACAAGCCGCCAGTGAGGCAACAAATGGAAGAAATTATTTTACGAAGAGTAGAGATTAAAAGTATTTGAAATATAAAAGACCGCACAGATTTACTCAATGTAATGAGAAAGTTGCAATGATTTGATGCGCAAATAAAATTCCATTTACTACATTTTCTATCTCTGTTACTTAAGAAGTCATGACATAAATCTTTCTTAACTATATTGCCCACGTCAACTTGCAATATAATTTCCTGGTAGGTAGTGAATTCAGTAGGGAAATGATCCCACTTCCACCGCCACTTCCTGATTTCCTCTTCTACTGGAATCTGGCTTGTTCTCTCCCACAGTACGTTGTTGCTGATGGTGTCTAGCCAACGAATCCGAAGTATTTTGCGTAGACAACTGTTAATAAACACTTGTATCTTATGGATGATGACTTTGGTAGTTCGCCAAGTTTCTGCTCCATACAGTAGGACTGTCTTCACATTTGTATTGAAAATCCTGATTTTGGTGTTGTTTGAAAGTTGTTTGGAGTTCCAGATATTTTTCAACTGTAGAAATGCAGCCCTTGCTTTGCCGAACTGCACCCTCACATCTGCATCGGATCCACCTTGATTGTCGATGATGCTGCCCAGATATGTAAAGGTGTCAACGTCCTTCAAGGCATCTCCATCAGGTGTGATTTGGTTGGTGCATGTTGTGTTGCATCGGAGAATTTCGCTTTTTCCTTTATGTATGTTGAGACATACTGCTGCAGAGGTTACTCCTACACTGGTCGTCTTCTCTTGCATTTGTTGTTGCATGTGCGATAGAAGAGCCAGGTCATCTGTGAAGTCCAGATCGTCCATCTGCATCCTAGCTGTCCATTGAATACCGTGCTTCCCTCCAGATGTTGACGTCTTCATAATCCAGTCAATCACCAGAAGAAAGAGAAAGGGTGAGAGTAAGCAACCTTGCCTGACACCGGTCTTCACCTCGAAAGAGTCTGTTGGCTGCTCTCCGTGCACGATTTTGCAGTTGAATCCATCATAAGATTTCCGTATGATGTTAACTGTTTTCTCAGATACACCGTAGTTTCGAAGAAGCCTCCACAGTGTTTTCCTATCCACGCTATCGAATGCTTTCTCGTAGTCGATGAAGTTGATGCAGAGTGGTGAGTTCCATTCAACTGATTGTTCCACAGTGATCCGTAATGTAATGTAGCGATCCGGTCAGCGTGCAGGCGTCGTATTTCGAACTTTGTAGATTCACATATATCGTTTGCGTATAGGATAAACTAGCGTGACTTTATTCACTTACCTGGATAACTTCACTGGTGAGTAGTTTTGGTGATCGAAGGCAATCATTGTATTCTGTCATTTGTTGGAGTTCTTTTAAGAATGAGTTATTGACTTTAGTTTGAAAAGAATCCCTTTGTGTAGGAACTCATAAAAGCTTTACGAAAGTCGAAAACTATGATTAATAACAGTAGTTTTACAGTTTTATTATTCAGATAGTCTAGTAGACAAGTATAACACGACATGGACATGGTTCAGGGCACATAGATCCTTTGAAATTATAAGTATCTAGAATCCTAAGTTGCGATTTTCTGAAGATATTACTAGCGTTTTAATGAAATATGTTTATTTGTCGGTCGGTGGTGTTTAAAGTAAAGAAGGTATCCCAATCAATGCTTCTGAGGTCATTTGGAAGTATTTCCAATCGTCCTAAAGATTGTCCCAACGAACTGTGCTGCCCTTACGTATCGTAGTTGTAATTTTTTTATCAGAAGTACATATGATGATGTTATGATCGACACGTACGTACTTTATCATTACGGGTGAAAACGAAATCCAAAATATTATGATTTCTGGTACGGCTGCCAACATATCGAGTCCATTCTTCAAACTCGAAGCTTTCAGTAAATGATATGAAACGTTTCAGCGCTTTGATTGGGAACCAAGAGATTTCATGCATGATCAAACCCCATAAACAACTTTGCATATGAACTGTAGATCTGAAGCAGACGTCAGTACATATGGTAATGTTGCTAAATCCCCTGTTTGAATCTGAAATTGGCCGTAAACACAGTCAAACGGTAGAGAAAATGAGTTTGAATGTTTCAGTACGATTCACATAGAATATTGTAGTTTGTTTAATTTCATTGAATCACATAGAAGTGAGTTTATTGAAGAGTAGACTTATATTAAGCATCTTTCATCACATCCTTGTAACCTATCACATCGAAACAGATCACAGTTTTCAAGAGATTTACTTTAATCAGATATATCGCTGGAAGTTAATGCTTCAGTTATCATCATAAGTGGTGGTTGATAAATAGATGTTAATATGACTGAATCTGTCCCTTTATTAAAGCTTTGGCAAAACACATATTTAACGAATGTCTGGCTAAGCAGGAGTAACTGAGAGTTTCTGGAATAAAGCGTACTTATAATGAGCTTCATAGGTGTGATACAGGTTTAAAGTCAGGGAGTGGTTGTTCGATTACCCAATTTTTTGGTGGCAGGGTACTCCTTAAGTTGTGGGCTATATTACTACAAATTAATTAAATTATAGTGGTCAGTATGAATTTTATACTGACTTATCACTACACTGTCTACTCCACATTGAAGGATTAAGCAGTGCTCTGACTGTAGACATGCTGTGGTGCGCGCTACTTATAAGTAGTATATGACGCGATTAAAAACGTAATATCTGCCAGCAGAAGATGGGGGAAGATCAAGAAAGGAAGAGTGGGAACACAGTGGAATTTGTATGAAACTCATGAACAGCGAAATGTCAGACAATGGATTGATGATAGAATGAAGATTTGCAAATAAACGGTTACGATATGGTTTTCCTATTATACAAAGTAACTCTGTAATTTTCGTTAAATACAATTCGGTTGTCCTCACCTGTGTTCTCCTTCACTACAATGCGACCACCGACCAATCCTTTTTAAGACCATTTTCTGTGGACTCAAAACAATTAGTTCAAAAGATCATTTAGAAGAAGAAATTATGTAAACAAATCAGAAACAATTATTTATTTAAGTATCTGCAAGTATATTGTGTTGTACGATAATTTTGAAACTCGAAAAATTTAGTTATCTGAGCAATTTTTCAACACTAATGGACACCTATAGTTGAAGTTTAACATCAATTAATTTGAACAGACTTGTTGTGTCGTGATTGTTTATTGAAAGTACGAATGAACGAAAGCACTAAATACGTGACTGATGCAAAGCCTAAGTTCGAAGTAATAATAAACTCTTCCATATGAAGCTAGTTGCCAAAATAAAGACAATTTCAAAATATTTGTTTAGGTTCATCACTGAAAAAAACCCGACAACCATGGTTCGTGTTCTCCAAAAGTTCCGAACAGGGAAGATCGCTTCAACTTAGAGATGGCTGAGATTTTCAATACAAACTTCACTGGGTAGTCAAACCAAGCATCAGATTATCACGCTAACCTAGTGCCAGCTTACGGCCTAGAGAATATCCGTATTACTCCTGACTTAGCACTAAGTAAACTAACATCATTACGCCAAAGAAAGTCATCAGGTTGTAACAATATTCGCCCCATTATCTTGAAACAATGTGCAGAAGTCCTCTGTTCACCGACATGTGACCTGTTCAGGCATTCACTGCAGTCACATCAACTCCCAGCTGAATGGAAACAAGCTACTCTCTCTCCAATCTTCAAAGGTGGAGATAGAAAGGACCCAGCCTGTTACAGACCAGTCGCATTACTACCCATAGTATCAAAGGTAATGGAAGGTCCGGTGAACGAACGAATGAGGGGTATATGGATAAGAATAAAATATTCCATGAAGCTCAACACGGGATTTGTGAAGCCAGGCCATGCACATCTAATATCCTCATAGCGTGGGACAACTGAACATACTGCTTGGACCGAAAAATACCGATGCACGTATTAATTCTCGACCTTGTAAAAGCCTTCAACAAAGTACCCCACTCACATATAATCGCAGGAGTTGCAGAAATGGGCTTCACTGATCCACTCGCATCTTGACTCAGGAACTACCTTGGGAACTGAAAATTTCGTATCAAGGTAACTAGAGTGCACACGAGGTGTCGAGCGTCCACATAGTAAGTTTCACAGGGGACATTCTTAGGTCCACTTTTCTTCCTGATTTTTATTAACGACCTGTTAGGCACAGTCAGCTCACTGCCATTGATGTACGCAGACGAAGTGAAGATCTGTACGTCCATTAGAAGCGAAGAGGATTCAAATGAGCTCCAGAAGGACCTTACATATATTGAGGAATAGGAAGTGAAAATGGTCTAAAACTAAACCAGTCGAAGTGTCAGTCCATGTACATTCTGCCCCATATGGTGTAAACGATTTATACCCCCAATGGAAGTCCACTTCCACTTCTGTCTTCTCTCACAATATTCACTACCAATAAATAAACTAAATTATCTATTTACTTACTTAGTTATGAAATCCTATTATTATTGGCATAAGAATTGTCTGCTTATTATTATCCACACTGCAACTAACTGATGTCCTGTCTTTTATTGTGATAGCTGCTGGTATCTAGAAAACCTACCGCCCTCAAACTAACGTTTTTATTCAAATCACTGGACATACAAACTCCTAACCAACTACCAAATGACCAGAATTAGACAGTCGAGTGGCTTGACCCCAGTATTTGGAAACTACTAAACACCTGGAACCGTACCGAAGGAACAAGAATCGAGCGCCGAGTAATCAATAGGTTTATCCCAGCTGAATGGAAACAAGCTACTCTATCTCCAATCTTCAAAGGAGGAGACAGAAAGGACCCAGCGCGTTACAGACCAATATTATCAAAAATTATGGAAGGGCTAGTGGACGAACAAATGAGGGAGTAAATGGAAATGAATAAAGTACTCCATGATGCTCAACACGGGTTTCGGAAAGTCAGGCCGTTTGAATCTAATCTCCTCATCGCATGGGACAGTTGGACATCCTGCTTGGACCGTAAAATACTGGTACACGTAGTATTCCTCGACTTTGAGAAGGCCTTTGACAAAGTGCCCCACGCACACCTAATCGAAAAGGTTTTGGAAATCGGCTTCACTGGCCGACTACTATCTTGGCTCGGAAACTGCCTTGAGAATAGAAAGTTTCGTTCCAAGGTAAACAGAGTGCACGCGAGTTGGCGAGTATCCACATCGAGAGTTTCACAGGGGACCATCTTAGGCCCACTTCTCTTCTTGATATTTATTAACGACCTGTTGGGCTCAGTCAGCCCACCGACATTCATCTACGCAGACGACGCGAAGATCTGGAGGTCCATTAGAAGCGAAGAGGACTCGACTGAGCTTCAAAAGGACCTTACATGCATTGAGAAATGGGCAGTGAAAAACGGTTGAAAACTCAACCAACTGAAGTGCAAAGTCATGCATTTCCTGCCTCATATGACGCAAACCACCTACACTCTCAATGGAAGTCCGCCCCCTAACGTCTCCTCAGAGCGCGATCTTGATTTATTAACCACAGAAAGCCTCCACAACAGTCCAAACTATGTAGGGGATGCAGCCAAGGCAAATGCGACTCTTCACTTTATGCGAAGACAGTTCGGTTCTATCACCCCAAAATAATTTTTAACCCTGTACGGGCGCCCACACTTGGAGGTTCACAACGTCATCGCACCCCCTCTGCTTAAAACAGACGAGCAACGAAATGAGTGATGGGGTTGAAAAATAAACCTTACGACGATAGACTCCAGCTCTTTGGATTATTTCCACTGGGCTACAGGTGAATCAGAGGCGATCTGATTATGGCGTACACCATATTAAACACGCCAAACCATCCCAATGTGAGCATCTTACCGATGCATCACCACCACTCCCCTCGAGGCAATCCTCGAAAAATTGCACATCAAATAACCAATACTCAGATTCGTGCACACTTTTTCTCGTTGAGAGTAGTCGCAACTTGAAATGCTCTCCCAGTCGAGGTAGTTACAGCCCCCTCAGTGGACTGCTTTAAGAAGAGACTTGATAATCACGTACTCACATACGGACTATCATCTCCCTCTTGGACAAGCTGTTCATCATGCATATCTTGAGACCTGCTGGTAGTTACCATTGCCGCCTGCTCAGATCATTCAATTAATCTATCTCGCCTATTAACTCTGTTTCCTCTCCCTTGATTACACTTCGGTCCTCTCTCACAATCCTCACTACCAATTAACAAACTAAACTCACGTATATATTACTCAGTTCTGAGATTTTATCCATATTATCATTTTATTTATCCTTATTACCCTTATTACTTTCCACATTGCAACTAACTGATCTACGGTTTGGTAATGTGACGGCTGCTAGTATCCAGAAACCCTACTGCCCTGAAACAAACGTTTCATTCAAATCCCGAGATATACAAACTCACAACCAACTGCCAACTGACTAGAATTAGACAGTCGAGTGGCTAGACCTGCGTCCATTGGACACTACCGAACACCTGGAACCGTACCGAAAGAAAAAGAATCGAGCGCGAAGAAATCAAACTGGTTTACACAAGCTCGTGTAAAAGATGTTGGATCCCAGTTAGTGAAAAAGATATTGGATATTGCAAGGTCATAGTTTACGAACAATATTCAAATGGAGACGAAACTTCTGATGAATTTAGCAAGAGCGTGAGTCTCTAGACATTTTTATCGCTATGATTCGGCGAGTTTTTACAGACTTTAGAATGCATTTTGCATACATTGAAAGTGGCAATATGTGTTACGCTAGCGGGAACGATGTTAGTTCTTTGATGAGTTCACCATCGTGTATAACTTACTAGTCATTAAATAAAAGATAGAATTGACTTTCTTGTACTCACTCTTAACATACAACTGAGGAAACAATGCAATCATACATTTTCTCCCTCAGAATTCAGGCTCGGCATTTACTGTTCTCATGCGTTCTCATCATGAAATTTTCCTGATCTATATATCCTTAAACTCTAAAACAGACAGTTGGTGTTTTAGCCTGTCATTGTTAAATTCCTACTCTTCAAACTTGCGGACCATTTGTTCATTGCTACTGGATGGGATAGTTTGTGGAGCTACGTCTTCTGTTTTATCCCCAAACTTTATAGTCAAGTAAAAACGCTGTAGATTATTTGAAACTTTTGGTACTTCGTCATTGTTCAGTTTTAATGACAAACTCAAGATCATTTCGACATAAACTACATAATGCTCCCTATTGAAAGCATATATACTTACTCGTAAAATTAGAATATCTAGTTCTCCCGACTAATATCTTAAGTGACTTATCTCCATGTTTACTGTTCAGAAAGATGGCATTCCACAATCCTTTTTGACCTAGCAACTTCGTGTAACTAGATTCAACCTAACTGACCGCTTTTTAGTTATAAGAGCTTTGTTTAATGCTTGTTTATACATACCGTTATTGTTGTTTATTTCTGTTCACATATAGGTCATCCAACCCAAAAGTAACAGCAGTCCAGTGTATCGATTCGGATGGTCTTTGTATTTCCTCCCACGGAACTGTTAATGACCATATCACTGGAGTTCTCAGTAGCATATATAAACATGCAGCAGGTATTGAAGAAAGCTCCAAATCCCCAGTCTTAGTAATTGAGTTTGAGTCAAAGTAGGTCATCCTTGCATGTGTTATGTTTCATACCGACAGGTCAAGTATTTTGTGTGAAGCATACGGGGTTCTAACTGCTGTTCACAAGAATCAGTGATGCTCCACTAAAAATTACCTGGTGACAACTGCCCGTCAGACTTCAGAGCCTTTCGAAACATCCATAATTCCAGCATATATAAGGCTTCTCGGCAAATTCCCGGCTATCATCATTGTGTAAATTTTCTAAAATTGACTCATTTTATCCAGTTCAATCATAAGTTATCATGCACCTTTCCGAAATTATTTGGATAAGTTAGTTACTGGATTTATGTATTGCAACAGTGATATGTTCTTCCTAATTTTTTTAAATTTTAATGAAGACGCTCGTAAACCTGTAGAATCTAATTGTTTTGAATAACTAACAAACAATTTGATAGATTAATATTTTGGACTTAATTATACGTAACAGCCTTCAGCATTCGCCTACTCTTGCTACTCGAGATATGTAGTTCAATTTAGCGTTGGGAAACTTTATCTCCGCCTTAAACGTTTACTTTATGAGATAGTAGTCCTAATTTTGTATTAATGATACAAACGTCTGATAGCTGTGAAGTTAGCTGAGCCGCCTAGGCTAAAATACAAAACTCCACATGGTTAAAACCTAATGCTTCAATTATTATACATAAATTTTCTTACCCATTTTCCGAACAAAACCTTTTTCTACAGCCATTACTCTACACATGATTAAAAAGTCATTATGATCAAACTAGGGTTCTAAACAAGTGTAACATTTGCTTCCAGACTAAATCACTCATGATTTCTGTTCACTTTTCTCTAGTGATTTATTGGCCCTTACATAGGAACATTCATTTCGTACCTCAGCTTATTATCCAATTCGTTCTCGCATTGCTGATGTCTGTTTGTCTTAAAATTTACAAGTAGTTATCAACCTGATTTTCCCATTGAAATCATGTATGTTCATTAAATAATTCACTTTTGTAAATAGTCAGTTTCTGTGGATTTTATATCTGTCACTGTATTTTCATCTACATGGCATATAACGGCATCTATCCTGACCGTAGCTGTTACCTTGACGTGGTGGTCGGGCTTGCCTATCGTGATGACCCAACCGAGCTATATTTGCTGGAACATATGTTCCTGTAGGTTCTGCCATGCCAGGCAGGTCGATTGCAGAACGATGAAACTAAAAACAGCTACTCAAGGTCTGAGAACGAAGTCGTACTGCGGACTGTAGAGGGGTGTGACAGCAGTAAGGTGCTTCCCTCGGAAAACCAGCATCTGCAGCGATCCTGCATTCTCACAAGGAAGTAAGGATTAGAAAATGTCACACTTCACCCTACCTCACGGATTTCCGTCTCCGGTGGTAAAAGCTTTTAAAAAGAACGGATCTAATACTCCAAAAACCTCTTATGAAAAGGCTGTGCATGACCGGCCTCAAGCAGTTTTCCCTTGGACTCTGCGGTCACAATCTCAGGTCTTTAAGACAGTTCAACACTAATCCAACTTTCTTTACATGTTTCTCAAGAAATACCCTTCCACGATGTGGGCAGCCGGGAATTGACGACCGCCCTCATACCCGTAACAGCACGCGAGGCCGAATCGGTCACAATCAAATTCTTCCCACACCCCATAACATCTCTCTTATCTCCACCACTAACTCCTCTTACATTCCTTCATCACCCTGCACCCCTGCTGCAAACGATGTGAGTTCACGAAAAGTTATTCCTGGTATCCTGAAACCCCGTTCTAGACTACATGTTGGAGCTTTTAATGTACGGACATTGTATCAAATAGGGCAACAGGCTTCATTGGCTAGGACTTTAGTATCTCGCGCCATCGATGTGTGCTGCGTCTCGGAAATGCACATGCAGGATCCTAGTAAAATCATTAATTTGATTTCACCTTGTCAAAATAAAGAAGCAGCTCGATTTACCCTTCGTGTATCCGGTGGCCTTGAGGCTGCATCCCGGAGTCTCGCTGGCACTGAATCGTAAAACAGAACTACTTCTACTAGACAGGATCCCAGAAGATAGTCGCCTGTGCGCTGTCCGACTAAACGGCACAGTAAGGACTCGGAAAGATAGGGACAATCGCCGTTGCCTCTTCGTCGTATCTGCATATGCCCCCACTGACTGCAGCTCAGACGACGTGAAAGATGAGTTTTACAGAAAGCTTTCGGACCTCCTCCAAAAAGTTAGGCACTCTGATGTAGTAATAATCGCTAGTGACTGCAATGCTCAAGTAGGCAGGCTAGGTGAAAATGAAAGTTACCTAGGTGGATCTTATGGTTCGCGGCTCAGAGAACAGCAAATGACGACCGTCTGTTGCAACTGTGTTCAGGTAACCGCCTATTTTGTAGCAAACACTAACTTTAAGCATTAGGTAAAACATCTTTTGACTTGGCTACCCCCAAAGCTGACCCGACGATGGACCCAACTAGATCACATCGCTATAAGCCACCGATGGGGGTTTCGATAGAAGACTCGCTCGTTGTGGGGCACATGTCTAGATTCAGATCATGCTCTAGTTACAGCGCGTATTTGTTTACGACTTACCGGAAGTAGGAAAGACACCGCAGGGAAACCTCTTAGGTTTCTGCTTAATGATGATAAAGCTAAGAATATATTTCAGGAACAACTAGAAAGAGAGTTAGGCGACCATGTAAGTGATCCCGATCCGGAGGCAGCTCCCAATGACATCCAAAAAGTTGTGGAAACTTCAGTGACATGTGCTAGTAAGATAAACCATAAAGTTAGAGAGAAGCCGTGGACTTCACTAGCATCTACGGAACTGATGGATGCTCAAAAGCTTATCCCTCCTGGCTCTGAGCACGATGAGGAGCGGAGTCAGCTTAGGCACAGGCTGATAAAATACCTACGCATTGACCGCAAATAGCGGTGGGTGGCGAAAGCGATGAAAAAGGCAGCGGTGACAGGCAACAGTAGATAACTTTTCCGCTTTATAAAAGAAACTGACATTAGAAACCAATCTGTTAGCAAAACAGTCTCAGAAAAGGATGGCTGTATCATTTGTTCTCAATTCAGGAGATTGGATCGATGGGCAGAACACTTTAAGAGTCAGTTCAACTGGCCTTCAGCCACACTTCGGTTACCCACGATCTCCAGTCATCCTGAATGGCAAGTTGACGTAAGCCCTCCGAACCGTTATCAAGTTGAAAAGGCTATAGGAGATCTGAAGCGAGGTAGAGCAGCAGGTCCTGATAGGCTTACCCTTGAGATTTTTAAGGATGGATGTCCAGTTTTAACAGTTAGATTGGCCGAAATCTTATGTAGAATGTGGGAACTAGGCGTAGTACCAACTGACTGGTCTCAATCACTGATTGTCCCAGTCTACAAGAAAGGACAAAAAAGTCCTCTTGTGACAATCACAAGGGAATCAGTCTAACTAATATAGTTTCTAAATTGTTAGCCTCGATTATCCTTAGACGCCTAACTATAGCTCGTGAAGAGCAGACTCAAGAAAATCAGGCTGGTTTCAGACCTGGACGTGAATGTATGGACCACATTTTTACACTATGACAGGTCCTGGAACAGAGATGTACATTTAGGAGTCTGACAATAGTTGTCTTCCTAGACCTTAAGGTGGCATTCGACTCTGTGGATCGTGAGGTTCTGTGGTAGTGTCTGTCATTGAAAGGTGTACCAGTACATCAACCTTAACGTTGTCATTGACGCACTTTTAGATACGATATTTTCATTATCTAACTTTCCAGATGTTGGACTTTTACCTGTATGTAATTAGCATCGAGATCCACGTTAGTATCTGACGTGGAGGCAACCGTACAGTTGTCTCGATAGCTAGTCCGCTCAATAACTTTTTCTGCAACGAGGGCAGACTGGATAAGTGGCATATCCTCCGGCAGAGCAGCGACCGTAGGTTGAACATGGGCCGGTAAGGCCCCTAGCCTCTAGGAAGAGTGCAGCAGTACTTCGAAAAGGATAATGAGAAAATATTGTAACTACTCATGTATGTGTAACACAGACTGTAAAAATGATCAGTTAAACTGAGCCTTAAATTTTCGTTTAGGTTCTTCCACTGTTTTCCATACATTAGCATATCCCAACTTTACAGAAATGCAATCTAAGAGATCACACAAGATAAGTCCGAATTAATTTTTCTTAAACTGGCGGAAACTTGAAATTTTTGATCAAGCTGTATGTTAGAAGTGAAGCATTTGCGAAACGTTTTTTGACAGGTCTACTTCTTATTTTATTCGTGAATAGAGCATTAGTCAGTTACAACGTAGAACTTCGTACGTACGCACATCAGTTCATGTTGCCATTGTACATTAGTACAGAGATTCAATTGTCAATCCAAATCCCATAGTAGTAGAGGTTGTAGAAGAATTAGCAGTAATCGCAGAGATTATAATTCAAGAAGTTTAATCTAATGAAATAAATTTGAAATGAGAAAGGCAAAGATGATCAGGAATTCAGAAGACTAGAATCTGAGAGAACACGAAGAATGGATGCATCTGCACCATTACAAACGATTTTGAGCCATGTCATTCAACGTCTCTTACCATCGATTACTATCATCTCGCGTGAATATGTAGTCCATACATCCACGTCCAGGTCTGAAACCAGACTAATTTTCTCGACTCTGCTCTTCTTCAGCTCAAATTAGGCGTCCATTTATTATCGAGGCTAACAATTTAGACACCATATTATTTAAACTGATTCCTCTGTGATTGTCACAAGAGGGCTTTTGTCCTTTCTTATAAATTGGAACAATCAGTGATTGAGACCAGTTGTATGGGATTACGTTCAGTTCCAAAATTCTACCTTAGATGTCATTCGATATAACTGCTGAAACTGGTCTACCGTTCTTAAAAATCTTATGAGTAATCTCTTTAAGGCCCTCTGCTCTTCCTCGCTTTAGATTTCCTATAACTTTCTCACCTTCAATAAGAGTTGGAAGACTTACATCGATTTGCCATTTAGGTTGAATGGAGATGGTTGGCGACTGAAGGCCAGTTGAACTAATCCCTGAAGTGTTGTGCTCACTTAGAAGTAACCATACTTTAAAGTGATTTTAAGGCATTAAGCGAACTATCACTTTGATCTAGTCTGACGACTCTTAAAACATACTCCATGTTAACATTTAAGACTTGGCAAGTAACTATCATAATTAGAGCCTTATTGTGTAGACGGTTCATTTGTATCAGTTTAACTGCGTTATATATAGCAAACAAAGCATTGTACTCATTTACAATTATCTACTACAAATAAGTTTGTGAATACAATAATCACAAATGTCTCTACATAAACATAATATCATGAGCATAGCATAATTTGGGTTCCCTGAATTCTATCTGCATTTTATTTTCTGCAGTTAATGCAAACTCTAACGGCGTAACTCAAATGAAACTAGACACTACTCTTATAATCTCTCTATACAAAACAGCCACATAAATATTCCTGCTAAAATTTTATTGAATCATGGTGTCCTGTATTGTGATTTCGGATGAAAAATATGTTAGGTCACCAAACCCCAAGC